GTTGACTAAGTATAAAGGCTGGATGTGGTCTCAAAGTCACTTTATCTTTAGTGAAGACCGTGTATGATGGACCCACCATTACGGCTCCTAACTCGCTGACTCTTCTTGTGAAAGTGATGGCCGTTAGAAAAAGCACCTTCATTGTGAGGAGTAATAGTGGGCATGTGGGACAAAGGTTCAAAGGAGGTTTCATAAGGGCCTCCAGAACCAAATTCATGTTCCATGAGGGCATCGGTGTTCTATGAGGTGGGTAGACGTTCTGGAGGCCTTTAAGGAATCTTTTCATCACGGGATGTGCCAACACTGATGACCCTTCTATGTGGTAATGAAAGACAGTAATAGCTGCCAAGTGTACTTTTATGGAAGATATAGACAGGCCGTCACTCTTCAAGCCGTGTAAATAGTCCAGGATTGCATGGATTGGAGCTTTGTCCGGTTTGAGTTACCTCTAACACCACAATGTGAATCATTTCCATTTTTGAAGATAAACTATTCTAATGGTTTGCCGCCTGCTGTGGAAGACATTTCTTACTTGCTCCCAGCAGGCGATTTCCGTGCCTCAAAACCAGACAGGAGCCAGGCATGGAGATGAAGGGTGTGTGGGTCTGGGTGCATGGGTCTGGGAGCAGTAGCTTGCCAGCATTCTGGAAAAGGAGATCACACCACTGAGGGAGCAGGTGGGGGGCTCAATGGACATGTACTGGAGGTATGGAACCCAGGTCTGTTTGGACCAGGATGGGGCCACTAGAATGACTCAGACTGCGTCCAAGTGGATCTTGCGCAGGATTCTGAGAATCAGTGGTACTGGAGAGAAAGCATAGTAAATCGGTTCGTCCCATGGGATCAGGAATGCATCTTCCCTGGATTCCTTCCCCAGTCCTGCCCAGGAACAAAAACGAGGGCATTTGGCATTCCTCACAGTTGCAAAGAGATCTGTTATTGGATAGCCCCAACTGTGAGAAATGGAATCTAACACTTGTGGGTGAAGTTCCAGTCCTAGTATTCTATGACCCTGGTCTTTTGATGCCTCTGATGCATCAGAGAGGCTGATCTGTGCTTTGGAGGGTCTGCTATTTGAACTAGTGATAGTTCCCCCGCAGGCTGTAAAGCCTTCTCGAGAAGAGACATGCAGAGCCTAAGCTCCAGATCTTTTGTCACCCTGGACGACAAGCTTCAACAGTGCTCACATTTTTGTGGGGGTATGGGACTCCCCCAGACATCTAATACAGTAGCTATAGATATCAGAAGCTGACATGAATTCATTGCAGTTGGAGCATTTCTTAAACCCCTGCAAGCCAGGCATATTGGAAGCTGTTGGTACTCGGGGTGTCTTAGTTCAACCATCAGCAAGCTTGTGTATAAAGCCTGCTGTTGTATGAGCTCTTGATCTTCCCTCTGCCTTTTTTTTTTTTTTTTTTTTTTGGAAGAGTGTAGCAGGCTGGGGCAAAGAGGAGATGCTGTTGCTGAAGCAGCTATCACTGAGGAACAGCGTGTTCCCCATTTTGTTGTGTTTCTTTGAAGTGGGAAGAATGCAACAAGTTGATTTGTAACTGAACAAGGTCAAAAGGTAGTCAAAATTTTTCTGTGAGGACAGAAGTACCTGAAGTAGCAAGGGAGCTCTGTTCATGATCAAGGGCACTATAAGAGGAACTGAAGGGAGGAGGGTCGGCTCCACCTACAGTGGAGCACCCACAGGGACATCACCCAACGAAGAATCTGGAATTCCACTTCTCAGGTGATTGTCCAGGGGTGTGCAGCACTCAGAGGGTGCTGTTCTGAACAGCTGGCAGTTCCCTCTGGTGCTGTGCGGAAACTTTGCATGCTTCCCCCGCCCCCAGATCCTGGTTGGCCTAGGGCAGCATCAGAATGGGATGCAGGCCAGATCAAACAGCTTGGCGGGCCAGATTTGGCCTCCTGGCCATATTTTGCCTACCTCTGGTATAGTTTCTGTTCAATATTGAAGTGAAAGCTAATTTTGACTCTAGACATTTTCTCCAAAGCCTTGAACTAAGCAGAGGTTTAGAAGTTACTTGAATTTAATAGGTACATGGGTAAGAAAGATCATCTTGGCCCCTTTTACCACTTCCATCCCATAGGGATCCTGCAGAAGATGGAACAGACACTTAAAATCACTGTGAGAAGGGGAGGAGAGTTGGGAACCAGACTAAAGAGAAAGGTCCTTACAGACTTCTTACAGACTTCTGATTACGTTGGTATGACTTTCTGGCTCCTTCACTTATTTTCTTCCTTCTTGGGCTATGTCTAGACTGCAGGCTTCTTTCGAAAGAGGCTCTTTCGAAAGCATCTTTCGAAAGAGCCTCTTTCGAAAGATCGCGTCTAGACTGCAGGCGGATCTTTCGAAAGAGCAATCCGCTTTTTCGAAAGAGAGCACCCAGCGAGTGCTGGATGCTCTCTTTCGAGGAAGCCCTATTTACATTGAAGAACGCCTTCTTTCGAAAGAGGAACTTTCGAAAGAAGGCGTTCTTCCTCGTGAAACAAGGTTTACCGCAATCGAAAGAAAAGCCGCGTTTTCGCTATTATTTCGAAAGAACGCAGCTTGAGTCTGGACGCAGGGGAAGTTTTTTCGGGAAAAGGCTACTTTTCCCGAAAAAACCCCTGAGTCTGGACACAGCCTTGGCGAAGGAGCAATAAAGGAGAATAATAGGTCAGAGGTGAAATAGACTTATTTGGATGCTTGGACTACACGTATGGATAAGGGAAAAAATGGAAGACATGAACATTTTCCATTTTGCTTGTATGTTTGCTTTATTCCTTTTTGTTTATAATTAAAGTAAATTGAGACACTATATATTTATCATAATAACCTCTTGAAATATAGTTGTACAACTTTACATTTCTTTATACCTTTAATAAAAGGTTACATGGATTTTTATGGTGTTTGCGCCATGATAATGAGGCTGAAGTCTAATCTTATTTAATATTGGATAGCAACTGGATTGTGTTAACACCTTTGGCCCCAAATATTCCATCATATTTTATATATTATATATATATATATAGTAACTCAATGTCTGTGACTAACGCTGAAATGCTGGCTATTCCCTCTGGGCGGCACTGTTGCCTCAGTCACGTCCTTCACCTCCCGCCGTGGTGCTTGGCTGACTTCTACGCTGCTCAGCCGGGCCACTGCAGGGGAGCCCAAATGGACGCTTGCGCCGCTTGCTCCCCAGCGGCAGCCTGGCTGGGCGGTGCAGAATTCAGCTGAGCAC